TCACCATATAACATTTTATAAATAGTCAATGTCCCAAAGTCCATAACCTATTGAAAAAGGCTTTTTCCTTCCCTACACACATAAATGATGAAGACCTTGCCTACGACAGGGGTGAAGACGGTTCAGATAGTTTTTAATCTATGAAAGATTTATTTTTAATGTTTATCTAGAGGTCTGTCTTACTACTAGTAGAGAAAGGAGTCCAGACCTGTAGCTTAACTCTTAAAGGAGGCTTAAGAAAGGGCTCTGATAGCATCATTTCAGATCACTCTGAGACAGAGGATACCTGACAGAGTTCCCCTTTCACCTCACTGAGATAGGACAAGATGTGGAGATTTTCTGCTGAGTACCCGGGAAGGGCTGTTGGGAGCTAGTTTCTTCTGAGGGATCTTTGGGCATTCACCAGAGAGTAGCCCTGGCCATGGCCCCTCAGTTATCACCTCAGTTTCTGCTTGTTCCACGAATCAGATATCTGTTTCTGAAAGGAACTCAGTTGCCTACCTGGTCAATGTTCCACTTGACATTGGCATCAATGGGAGTGGGGATTCACCAGAGGGCAACTGGAGAAATCTGTCCTCTGCTTTGAGAGTGGCAGCTGCCCTAAAGGCAATTACCAGCTGGCAGAATAACCACTGTTTGGTGTTCGATAAGGGACAGATAAAACCTGAACTGTCTTTATCTGAGACAATTTCATAAGACACCCATTTTACAGCATTTTGAAGCAGCTAAGTGCAAATGCAACACATACAATCAAACAATTTTAACAAAATATAATGCATAAGAAAAAATAGGATATTTGCAAACATTTAAAACACACAATTTAAAGACACTTTTGAGACAAAATCTGAAACAAAGGCCAGAATTTATGAAACAAAAACCAGAATCTAGCCTATGAAACAAATGAGAGCCTATGAAACAAGTTACAATCTAAGAAGCAAAATGATCAAAGTTACAGTCTATGAAAGAAAACTCTTACCTCCACCAGTAATCTTGGTGGAAGACCTCCAGAATGATAGAGGGGGAAGAGATGTAATTCCCAAACCTGCTAGATATCTGAAACACAAGTTCTGTTCTCTAAAATTAAAGAATGAATTCTAGGAACAATGGAGGTTAAGAGTAGGAAAAATTTATTGAGGGAAAGAAAGCTTCTGTCTAAGAGACAGAGGGGGGTCCAGGAAGTGGGTTGCTCATAAATTACTCTTTTGTGTGTGTGTGCATGCGTGTGTGCGTGCGCATGCGTGTGCATGCATGCGTGCATGTGTGCTGGAGTTTGAACCTATGGCCTCCCACATGTTAAGCATGCAATCTACCACTCAGCTATGCCCCCAGGTCATGGTTCAATTTTTTATTCCATTTTTTCTACAATTACATTGAAAATAAATGTTATTTTTGTTTCATTAGTGGTTCCTTTAGAAATTTTAGCTGCATGTAGTTGGGATGCTGATGTTTTGGGAATTTGGGAATTTGAGGCCAATGTAGGCTACATTGCAAGTTCCAGATCAGTCTGAGATTCACAGCAAAACCTGTCTCAAAAAAAAAGAAAAGAAAAGAAAAAAATTTTAACTCCATATTCAGCTTATGAAGTGTAAAATTTGATTTGTATTTTTGCCCTACTTGTGAGTAAATCAAGACCCCCAGAATAACTGAAATTCTTGTCTTTCCTGACATTCATTGTATCAGTGCTGTGCAATTATGTTTTTTGCCCTACAATATATAAGGTGTCTTTATATTTATTTCCTATCTAATATTTTCTTTGCTCATTTTGCCTTTTTTTTTCCCCTCCTGTTGCTGATGATTAAATCCAGGGCTCACATATTCTGGGCACATGGTCCACCACTAAGCTATGTCCCTTCCCTTTTTATTTTTATTTGAGGCAGAGTCTTATTAAGTTGCCCAAGTTGATCTTGACCTTGTATTCTTCCAGAGCAGCTGGGATTACAGTAGTGAGCCACCACACTGAGCTCAAATCTTTCATCTAAAATTACTTTCTTGGTCAGGGATTTAGCTCAGTGGTTCTGGAGCCTGCCTCGCAAGCACAAGGGCCTGAGTTTGATCCCGGTACCAAAAAAAAAAAAAAAAAAGAATATAGAATTACTTTCTTCCTGACTGAGTACTTTTTTCAGCTTTCAGAGTGTAGAGGACATTGTATCAAATTGCTCCCTCTTTTTTTTTTTTTTAACATTGCTTGAAATGTCTTTATTTTGCCCTTATTTTTTAAAGAGTTTTTTGCTAGATATGCTGTTCTAAGTTTACAACTATTTTCTCTCAGCATGTTGAAGATTCCATCCTACTATCTTTTGGCACTTGGTGTTGCTATTGATAAATGAATACTTGGTCTATTTTTTCTTTGAAAATAATCTGTTACTTCTGTGTTTTGGTAGCTGTTCTTTTCTTTGATATTTGATCTTTATTTTGGTGTGCTTAGATGTGGATTTATTTATACTGCTTTTTATGTTTGTTTTATTTTGAATCTATGATTGTTGGCTTTCATCAGTTCTGGAAAATTCTTGAGTTTATTCCACACTCTTTTCTTTCTATCTTTCTTTCTTTTTTATTTTCTTTTCTTTCTTTTTTTTTTTTTGTACTGGGGATCGAACTCAGGTCCTTGCACTTGTGAGGCAGGTGGTAGAACCACTAAGCTAAATCCCCAGCCCCTCCACTCTCTTTTCTTTCTGGGTCTGACTATACATATGATGATATTTTTCTTTTTCTTTTTTTTTCAAACTGGCACTTGAACAGGGGCAAACTATGATTGAATTTATCTACATCCCCTCTAAAAAATTTTTTTTTGATACAGGATCTCACTAAATTTCCCAGGAGAAAATTAAACTTATGATCCTCCTGCCTCAGCCTAAATTAATACCTTTCTTGTTTCTTTTTTTTTCTTTTCATTTTTATGTCTCTTTTCCCCTTATGTTATATTCTGTATCTTTTTTTTTTTTTTTTTTTTTT